AAAATACTTTTGGTTAAGGCTAAATTAGTTTTTAAATATGTACATGGTTATTGATGTACGTAGATTACGTAGATTTCTTGAAGATTATAATTTATAAATATTCGTGTTCGAGAACCGTAACTAATTTTTGAATGGCCAATTACTGCCGTAATATTCGCAGTGTAAGTGCTTGTAATGGAAAGTCGAAACTGTAATTCCTACCTAAACAATTTTAATTGTACTTAATTGCATAATTAGATATAACCATATTATATAGGTAGTCCATGTTATTAAATATTAACTGAGTTGACTACCTCAAGCGCAAAAAAAACCAATATTTTTGAGGATGCACAAATCATGAATAACTCATTAACCCACAGGGGCTTTGCCCTCACCACTATCCACCCTTCACTGTATATTTTATAATAACAATTCTGGAGTACACTTAAGCTTGTCCACTATTCACCCCCTTCCTTTTGCGCCAATGCTAACTTCCAACACATTGTTAACAGTTATTCAACTAGTTGATATGCATATACGTATAGTGTTTAGTTGATAATTTTTTAAGTTTAAATTTATAAATGAAACATACATTCTACAGTACTATTCAACACCTGCAGACCGATGTCCGTTAACCACATCTGTATCACTCCAGTAATCCTAAAAACATTTGAGTAAGTACTAATAGCTTTTATAAATAATAAGAAAACAATAAGAATAAAATAATCGTTTGAGCTTATCAAGTTTACTTTTATCTCGTTCATTATTTACGGTTTATTTGTATGCCCATGATGTCATAATGTTACATAATTTAATAACCCGAAGTAATACCATTGATTATAAATACATAAATATTATAAATTTTGATACCTATTGTTTTTCAATAAACGAACGCATTACAAACTATTAGGTATTCAATTACATTTTGACTGTAGATCCACTGGCGTTTGTATCATCCCATCTCTAGGTCACGGTGGTCATGAAAGACCGCAAGCAGGTCACACGCTACTTATGATAATATACTTATAATACTTACTTACATGGTAAATTATGATGATACTATGTAATAACATTAGAACGCTCAGCACGCATAATCTTGTAACATATCTCAGTACATTTACTTGTTATCCAAAATGGAGGTAAGTTTTAAAATATGGCTTTAAATTTTAGCCACGCATCTCTGTTATGCGTTTTTGTTTCATGCAAGTCATGCAAGATATCCACCATAGGCGTAGGGTGATCAAATATATTTGGGGGGGGGGCTGCAAAAACAACAATAATAATAATAATAAAAAAAAAAAAAAACTTAACTAAATGAAAATAAGACTACTCGGCGAAATGAGCAAAAATAATACAAATAATTCTGTGGGGCTAATATTCGCACTGAAGGCTAATCCCCCCAAGTCCCCCCTAGATACACCTATGGTACCTACATTAAACATGGATGATATTTAATTTTTTTCGTTAAGATTTCCGTTTTAGTTTTAAATGCAGAGAATCGCATTAATAAACACTATCAAAGCAGATGATCCTTTCCAATTATTTCAATCGGAAATAAATGACTACATAAACGAAAATCCTATGGGGATCAAGTGACCCACCAAGACGATACTTCATGTACGTGCATGTTACACGAAGCGGAATTCTATGTCATGTATACATTTATACACAATAATGATAATATCAATGTGATATGTGATGAACAGTAGTTAAAGTGATAAAAATCTTGAGGTGAAACTATAATCACTAAAATTGAGGAGCGTTTCCTTATCAAAGTCCAAGACTTACTAAACTATTTTATGTAGCCCATGAGGCCAGACCTCTATCATTTTTTCTTTTACACACATTTATTTATAAAAAGTTTTTAGGGCGTAAAAACTAAAAACAAATTTCTCCCCTCCAAAAAAAAAAAAAAAAAAATACTACAACATATTATGCCTGATCAGTAAAAATAAATTGCAATATATGGTCTAAGATGTTTACAAACATGAATCTAAAATGTTTAAGTTGTTTTAATTTTTCAGTCACTGGATTTATAGAAAAATTGTATTTTACATATTTTAGCATATTTTGGGGATTAGATCTATTTTTCGTATTTTAAAATATGTTGTTTTCTGTAAAAAAGATACATAGTCAAATTAAATTACTGTTAAATTAAACCACGATCTTAGAATATTATCTTTTATCTATTTCTTACATATCGCAATCATTATGAATATTTATTCTTCCAAGTCTAAATTTTTCCATTTGTTGAAATTTATTAATCAATAATACATTTCATATAATATTATATTTTGTACTTTATGTGATAATTACTAACGCCATTTAGTGTCCTCCTGGATTTTGGAGACTTAAATTAAAGGAGACGCATTATCTTTTTTAACAAAACATTCTAAATATAGGTTCTTCTACTTTTAATAATACTAGTAAATATCTACTAACTAGTGTTAAATGTCAGTAGAAGTAGTTAAAAGATTAATATTTAATTCAACGTGTTGGGATTTACAACAACGTTTAACCAGAATAGCAAACAATTAATAGTATCAAATAATTTTAAATTCAAATTTAAATAAAAAATAAGTGGTAATAAAACGTGGAGTACACAAGATGCCACATAATATAATTATTTAAACGATATAGGTATGTACATAGGTGCACATAGGTACATATTACATACTATATAGTACCTATACGAGTGTAATATCATAGGTATATAAAACGAATTGCTGCAGCTTATATCTTATCGGTTTTGTGGCAGATTGTATAATGTTAATTTTTTTTCTTGCCGCAGTTTACATACAGCCAAAATCTTATCCACGTTGTTCACGAACGAGTATCGCAAACCAGTGACGGATTTATATACGATGTGCCTGTTTAAGTCATTTAAGTGGGTGGGGCACAAAAAATAATTCTTGTGTTAGGCACCGAAGGAGCTAAAGCCTGCCCTATCATGGACGTTATAATGTTAACAACATGTCTTGTATTTTTGACGAATACCGACACGATTGCAAGCAATGAGGCATTTAGGAGAGTGCGTTTGGAACAAACGTTGTTGAGACTAAAAATCGTAAAAAAGTTCAAAAGTATCGTCGGAAACGTAATAGATACATAATAAAAAAAAATTGGACAGTTTCTATGTGTTTAATTTTACAATTTTATTCGATTCGATTTGTACAAAAAGTATTTAGTGTCGGATCGGGTTACTGTTCATTTAAAACATTCGTATCGCGTACAGATATACTAACAGCGCCGGTGTAAATGCAGGGCGGAAGGGGCAGCTGCCCAGGGCTCCATAATTTTAGGGACATTCGCTTTTCATAAGATTTAATAAATTGTTAGCCTATAATTTAATTTTTAAAATTAAATAAAAAGTGCTAACAGTCATGTGAAAATGTGTACGGGGTATTTTATTCTTTAACTTCAATTCTATGTTTAGTAGGTACTTATAATTTAGTACAAATAGTATAATAATAATAATAAATGAACAAACGATAATACGCTGTTGACGCTTAGATGATAAAATATAAAATCCACGCTAAGGAAGAATATTTTTACATAAATTATGCGAAATAGAAAAATATGCCGTACGAGTACTAGGGTGTTCAAGGAATATTTGTTTAGTTTCGCGACAAAAAGTTTCCCGTGAAAAAATCTGCTCCGAGTCCCGCAACACGTCCCGCCACTTTGTACAACTATATTCAATGGTATTTTTTTATGCCTATTCGGCTGCATAATAGTAAATCAATTGAGGCCTACGTTTTTGCGTATGGTTACAGATGTGACGATTGACACGTATCAACTCGTTCGCATAGCCCTTCGGGAGTGGGCACCTCAAGACTTGCATCGATTTACTCCTACAACACGGATAATTGTATTTTTTCACCACAAGCAGTGGTGTATCAAAAGAGTTGTTTAGGGGTTATTATATCCTCCTCCCAAAATGTCTTCGAAATAAAAAAATAAAATCACTAATAACTCGAAAAAAAGTACAAAGTGTTATTACACTTTACATTTTACACAAATAATAAAAATCAATAACATTTAAGTCCAATGTAGTGTGAATATAATAATAGCTCTGTGGCAGTGCTACTGTGCAAACATCTATTATATGATTGGATAACAATACACCTCAAGTGCATCGAGTCAACTTATAACTGCAATAAAACAATTTTATTTTCAAACCACCTTAGCTATATTAGTAAAAATATTAATTTTCCCAATGACAGATTCCTTCGAACAGAATGTCTGGACTTCGAGACTGCAATAGAAACTGTATCCACTGTTCAAAAAATCATTCAAGGTATTCGAGAAAATTGTGTTATGAAATTTGAGAAATTATATTCCAATGTAGAATCTCTGAGTGAAAATTGTATATTCCTACAAGCTCGAAACGAAAAAATAAACATCTAACACGTAATTGTAATACATATTATTTTTAAATGTATTTAATTTTTACTTTTTTTTTTTATTTAAACTACATTATTTTAAAAATTAATACATAATTATAATATTTGCACTTTTTTTTTTTAATGAATTAATGGTTAAAAACATATTAAAAAAATTTAATCGGCAAAAGTCGTTTAAATGGTTCGACTTTATTAAATATACGTCGTGTAATCAACAAAAATGTATGATGTCATCGATGAGTTGATGAATACATCAAATAGAAAAATAAACATTGGTTTATAAATAAGTTCTATAGGTATTCAAAATGACTATTTATTAGATTAGCACACAAGTGTTACTGACTTGGTACTATTAAATTACAAACATTTATTTATTTTCTCAAATTTTTAAAATACACAAAAAGAAAGATAAAATAATAATAATAATAATAATAATAGTAAATAATTAATAGACACAAAGGTTTCTCTAAACCATGTTTAAAATGTGTTGGCAGTTGAATTGGGTTTCCGGAATAATAATATCTACTCGTTTGACGGGTAAGATCGAGCGGCTCGTTAAGTGTCACTTCGGCTGAGCACTGTAATTTGATAGCGCATAAACAACAATGCATGATAACAGCTGAACCGTGATAACTGATAACGGCAACGAGTTCGGCAAAATTTCCGCTCGTTTGAATGCAGACGGTACGGACATTAGAACGCGTTCGATGGAGATATTGGTTGACGGACTTCGACGTACGGGTGATTTCTTCAAAAGTTCTGCATCGGAAAGCCACCGTTACGTGCTGAACTGGTAGGAGACCACCGCCGTTGGCTACGCACAGACACCGTCACACATATAGGCAAAAACGTTCATGTAAACATTCCGTTTGTTCAGTCTCCGTTACTAGTATTTTAATGTTTTATACCATTAGCATGTCAGCCTCCGCTCCGAAAACTGCATGGTTGTCGTCCAAACTAAAACAGTTTGCGTTGGACGAAGAGATCTACTTGAATTACATTGAGAGCGTGTTGGACGGCGAAGAAGATCGTTGTGAAAAGATTAGTGCTCTTGAGGCGATTCTCGGTGAAGTATTGGTTAGTGTTATATTTATTATTATAAGTCAATGTCAGAATGTTTTACATATTTTATTTTTATTTTATTTTTTTTGTTTCATCTGTAGAGCGAGAACGAAGCAAAAATGCAATGCATTGAAATAATTAACATGTATGACACTAATGATGTAAATGACCACGATGAAGTTAAAAAAGCAGTTGAAGACACTGAAGAGATTTTAGTTAAAATGCTAGAAAATAATATTAGGACAGTGGTACCTAATAAAGTTAATAGACAGAATTCAGATGAAGACAATTCAGATTTAATGAAAATAAGAAAAAACATTTTATCTCAATACGCACAAGTATGATAATATACAAATAATTTGCATAATACTACTATATTATAGATTTCATGAGTTCAATTTGAAAATTAATTTTTTGATTTTTATTTTATTTAATCAAATGACTTGTTAACATTTAGTTTCTATATCTATAGAAAGAAGCAAATTCAGAAGAAGAAGAATGTAGCGATTTAGATATAGAACACAATACCAATGCCAGTTCTGTATTAGCATTAAAAAAAGAACAAAGAGAAAGAGCTAAAGAAGAAAGTTTGCGAAAAAAAGAAAAAGATAAGGAAGACCGGTAATATTTCATTAACATTTTTAATAGTGAAAATATAATAGTATTGTTTCTGTTACAAAAAATCGATATTAATAGTAGTATATAAATTGAAAAACAAAAATTACCAATAATGCATCATAATTTAAACAAATAGTATAGTTGATACATAAATAAAAAAATAAAAGGCTCACCAATTTGGAATGTAGATAAAGTTAATACCAGTATTGAACAAAATTATTGGTTTTGTATAACATTTTTTATATTGATGTTTTAACTGTTGTACATTATATGTGACAACACAAAATAGAAATATATATATATATATATATAGAATTTTTATTAAAGATTAAATAATGTTGTATGGTAGTATTAAGTAGTTTTATTTCAAAATTAACTATTATTTATATTAATTTTAATAGTATTTTTATTTAATTTCACAGAGAAAAACAAAAACAATTAGCGCAAGAAAAGAAAGATGCTAAAAAGAAGAAAGCTCAAAAAGTGGAAAGGAAACGTTGAGATAATAGAAAATAAATAAAAATAAGATTTCAATTTTGTGTTTATTAACAATATATTTAGATTACTTTTGTGACCAATGTAAGCAATAAATACATTCTTACATAGTTCCATAAGTTTGGATTTTATTTGTAACCATAAGTGTTTTTTGTTTTAAAAACAACATTTTTACAACATAAAGGCTTGACTTCAATAATTTATATTATAATAAATGTAGATAGTTAAAGAATTTATTTAATTTAAAGACAATTTTTTTTCCTGAGACTATTTGATATAAATGTTTAAATGTTAACAGATATTTGTCCATATTGATTGTATAGCTACAATTTAATAGAAAAGAAAAAACCGTTTGTGGGCTTTTCAACTATCCATTACTTGTGAGGATTTAAATTATCTTATTACATGGTACTAAGATAATTATTTGGAAAAGATGGTCTAGAACACAGATAGAAAATTCAGTCGGATTAGATACAACAGGTTAAAGTTCATAAAGTACTTAATAAATATCGTTTTTTTATATAAACATTATATTATATTTTTGAAACTATAACAAATAATATATGGTTCAATCTTTATTTGAATTTGTACATTGAATATATTTTATCAATCAATGACAATCATTAAATGCTCACAAAACTTAGATGATTAATACAAAGTTTAAAGGCCATGTAAACTAAAAGTTAAGTTTACTGTCAAAATAGTATATTGCACAACAAAATTTGTTTAAATGTATCACTGTTTTTTGTTTATAATTAACAGTTTGTACCTATAATACATATCATAAACATCTAGACAAAAACAAATCTAGTGAATACACATAAATGAAACTACAGTGGTAATATCGAAATAAATTAAAACAATAATCAAAATTAATACTTAAACTAATAAAAATAAACATATATATTTTTTATATATAAATATATGTAATCAATTATTTTTTACAATATAATCTAAAATTATATACACGCTTTACATGTGCTACAATAATGTTTATTATTTTAATTAAATTTTACTAAACATGAGTTATAATCTTGATAATAACCCAATATCTAATTCTAATTTTCATTACAATTTAAATATAATATTCTAAAAATAATATCAAGTGAATGACAACAGAATTTTAAGTAACAATAAAAGTAAAATATTCAAAAATGCTATTATGGCCTGGAACAATTTTCTAATAAACAGATGACAAGTCAAGTGTTAAATGTCGAAGTAAATTTGAACGATTTACTCTGGATGTTTTGATTTCTTGAAGTACCATTGTTTTACAGTCCAAACACACAGCCATTTGTGCGCTATATTTAGCACTGAAATATTGATAAATATTAAAAACAAAATTATTCATGTTTTCTAAAAAAAGAAAATATCGAATATTATCAAAATTATCAAAATAAAATGAGTACCGAGTAATGTTTTGTGTAACAGCTGAGGAACCATGATAACTAGCAGACATACTGTTATGGGAACCAGAACCACCAACTGCCAATGATTTCTGAGGACTTGATGGAGCACTACCCCAACTACTCTTTGACCACCAGGAGTTTTGTTCGGAAGTAGCTACGTTGGGACTGAGTGCAACCACTGGTATTTGAGACAGATGCTCAGTGGGCATACGCATCTATTTGTAAACAAATGTTTTGGTTACATATGTTTTCTATTAATTAATGTGTGTGTATATTAAAATTAAAATACCTTGGTGCAACATTTTGAACACACTGTACGTTGACACATTTTACATTCCTGTCCCCATGGACCGAAAATGCCAAATCTAGTTTTCATACACAGGAAGCAAACCTACAAAACCAAAATTGTTTTTTATTTGGTTTTAATATTTCCAAAAAGTAATTAATGTTTACTTTTCTATTTTCCACATCTTCTTTGAAATTTCCTTCAACTGGCAAACTTTCAATTTCTGCTTTTGTAAGCACACTGCGAATATGTATTAGCTCTTGCAGAGTCAAAGTCAAACAATCACTCTGGAAATATATATATTTACTAAATCATGAAAGAAATCAAATTGTGTATACATTTACACATCTTATAAATATGTAAATGTGATCATATATTTACTGTAGGTAAAGTATTTTTGAACATAGATTGTCTACGAGATTGTTTCCATAAACCCATAGGTTTGAAGAATGACAATGATGATTGATCAGCAATTGTATGCCTTCGTTGTTGTTTTCTCATTGCATGGACATTTTTATTTAGTATGCTATCGGTTTTTCCATGTTTTTCTTCTTTTTCTATAATCATTAAGTTTGGCATCAGTAATAAAAATAAAAATAAAATTCCATAAATATAAAAATTTAAAAATAATAAAATATAAAATGTTATTTATATTATAAAATTATAATAATATTTTATATTATAAAATGTTATTTATGTTTGTTATTATTCAATAAATTAGTACTTTTCCCCTTACAATACACTGTTAATATGTAAATTAAAAACAAAATTACATAAAAGAACATGGATTGATAAGTGACAGATTCTTATTCAATTAAATATGAAACATAAAATTATTTTAGTATGGTTACATAATAATATAATTATTAAACAAAAAGATTGAAATATTTTGATAAAGAAAATTTAACATAAACTCATATAGGTAAGAACAATTATAATTTAAGCAAAAATTAAAATACAAATTCAGATAATTAATTTAAAAATGTCAAATTAAAAAAAAAAAAAAGTTTTATTTTCATTTTCATTTTTCAATTAAAAACCTAATAAAAATGTCATGTGTACCAACACCAATTAACAATATTATTAAAATATAAAAACTACAGTTGAAATAGCAAGCATACAAAAAAATGTTATGTTTCATGCACGAACAAATTTCAAGACAAAAGGAATTCATCTTACCTGAGTATTTGTACATATTTTATATTTAAAATATACACACACATATAACAGTCTTTTTTAGTTTCAATACAATTTTTTTTATTCTACAAAATAAAATTATATACATAAATACAATACTTATAAAAATAAAACGAAAAAGATCATAAACATAAATTACCAAGGCAGATGAAGCAAAGATTTTGTTCATGGTGCACAAGTACAAATTATTTAAAATATGTGGGTAGTCAATAAAAAAAAAAAAATTATCAATCACCTCATATTTATGTACAAAATATAATACAATATTGTTTATAGAACTTTGTTAGATATATCCATGAGCATTATTATTATTATTATTATTAATATTACATTTATGGATAAATCGTATTAAATATTTAGTTTTAATTGTAACAATAATTATTTAAATCATTATTATTATTTTTTATTAATTAAATCAATACAATATTTTATTATTCACCATTCAGATTGTGCACAAGTTTCAGTGCAAAAAATTAGAGACTAAAAATATTCTATAATATAAAAACAAGCCTGGGTGCAGTAACAAATACAACCCAAATCACAATAGTTGAATAATCTAAACATAAATGAAAAAAAAATAATAAAATAAAAATAAAAAAGTTGAAAAGAACTAAGAATGATACATAAGAATTAAGAGTATGAAGGATTAATTTTAAGATATAACACAGGACTGGGTAGGTGTCAAAGTCTTTAATTGAAAGTGCAAATCACAATTTTTTGGAGAATCACTACCTTGACTGGAAATTCCCAAATATGTTGATTGATCTTTATTATCTACTGTTGAATTCTTAAATTTGTTATCTTCTTCGTCATCCTCAAAATCATCTTCAGAATCAGAACTCTATAAATTGAATGTGAGAATTAAGAAACATTATAAAACTACAATTAGATTCATGATAAAATATTTCTAATTAAACAAACATACCACTAATTGTGCTATTGCAGAAAAGTCAACTTTAATAAGTTTGCGTTCCTTGTTTGGATTAAGCATACTTTTATTAAGTGATTGGTTTGGTGTAGTTTCTTCTTCTGAATGATTTAAAGAAGATTCGTCATAGTGAACTTAAAATTATAAGAATAACCATTTATTTTATTAATTTATATATTAGCATAATCTTATTATTTACTAATTATAATAAATTTACTTTTTGACTTATTATTACGAGAATTAGGAGGACTTGACATTGATCTTGTTGATTTTATATTACGGAAAGGACTTTCTAAAAAAATGAGAAACAGAAACATTAATAAAAAAAATAATGATAAATATACAATGTCATTTGAATAAAGAATTATACAGTAGATCAACTCAAGTTTTTTATTCATAACATAAAAATATTATTAAAAATATTAAATATGTATGACATAACATTTAATGAACTTACTGGTTAATGAAGTAGAACGTAATTTAACGTTTCCACTTTTTATACACTCCAATAAATGTTCTCTAGGCGAAAGTTTATCTTGTTGCCGTGGAGCTAATTTTCTTGCTGCAGCCTAAAATAAATATTAATAATAAAATAATGTAATATCACAATTTATAAATTTCATATTAATAAAATAGAATAAAAATATATAACTTTACAGTTAATCATGAATATAAGCTATTATGTTGTATGTTGTAATACACATTTTTATGTTCGTTCAAAGGCTAAAAATACTTGAAAACATTAAGTTAAGCTTATCAAATATTATAAATGACTTAACATGTAATTAAAAGTTATCAAACATATTTTATAAAATATCAATGTCAAATTATTTCAATTTCTCAGTATAATATTACATAATATAACCAGATAAAAAAAAAAAATGAATTGTTATATGATCATTTTTATTTTAACAACAAAACAAATTTAAGATTGTAAATCTTTTGTTTAAAACTACATATAATATTTTAAGTTAGTAGACTAGATGTGAATGATTATGTATGAGTATGTAAAATCAATAAGTAATGATCATATAATAAATATAAAAATAAAATATTGCTATGATGAGTAAATATATAATTAATTAATTAATTACAGAGCAAGTTCATATCACATGTTTTTAATAATAATTACTTACACTTTTTAAAGGTGGCCTGGACCTAATGAATTCAAGAATTGCATCATGTGCATCTCTTTGAATTCTTGCTGGAATTTCAGGAGGAGTTACTCTTTTTAATGTATATCTTCTGGATCTTATATCATCCATTAACATTTCATAAGGAGTTAATGCATATTCAACATATCCAACTCCAGCATGAGGCCTCTGATCTACTTTTTTCAATTGCACACCTCGTCTCAGTTCACGTATTAATTGAATCCATAATCGAGCCTAAAAAAAAAAAAAAAAATAATTGATTAATAAAAAAATATACCAAAAATTAATTAAATTATCAATAATTGTAAAAATTATGATTATTAATTTTCATTTAAAATATATTACAAAGGTATTGTAAATTAATATTTAAAATTATATGGAGAGAAGTATCAGGCATTTTATGTGATAAGAGAATTTCAATATTTAAATAAATTTCAAGGTAAAATTTACTGAAGCGTAGTGAGATCAACTATGCTATATGGTTCAGAGTGTTGGATGGTTGACAAGAGAATAGAACCAAGTATGAGTGTTGCGGAAATGAAAATGATTATATGGATGATGGGAATGACAAGAGAAAATAGAATAAGAAAAGAATATGTGAAAGGTATTATTGGTATAGCGCCAATAGTGGATAAGATGAGACAAAATAGACTGAGATGATAGTTTGGGTATGTGATGAGACTAGAGGAAATAAAAACAGTAATAGTAGTTATGAAAAAAATGTTTAAGGAAAAAGAGGAATATCAAAAAAGAAATGGTTAGATACAATTGAGAACGATATGAGAGCTGTTGGTGTGCATTGGGGATGCGGAAAATCGAGACGAGTGGATGTTTAGGACAAGGGTGGCCAACCCCAAATAGATGGGAGCAAGAGGAAGGAGAAGGAGAAAGTATTGTAAATTAATATCTAATATCTCATTGTACAATAAACAAACATACTTGTAAAATACTCCACTTTCTGCGGTTTGGCTAACAAAAAGTTGCATAACAAATTTGTTAGTTTTGATACCATAATTGTTATGGAGAAATAATATAAACTTACAAATTAACTTCCTAAAGCCATAATATTGTAGGTATAATTCATAATTACACTAGATGATGAATTATAATTATGTGAACATACATTTTAAGTTACCAATGCTCAACTGTTAAACATATGCTAATATAATTATGGGTTTAAGATGTTACTTAGTTAATATATAGAACTACAAAAATTAATATAGAAAAAATTAGAATTGAAATGCTTACCCAATCGCTATAATCCAATGTACTTAATTCAGATGAAGTTGAATTTCTGTGTCTTAAGCTGACAGTCCCATCAGATAGTTTATCTAAAAATGAAGAGAGTTCAAGAGCTTCGGTCACTAAAGCCCGACATACTGCTTTGTAATGTGTTTCAGAACCCAAACCTGATACACCAATATGCCTACTGCATTCCTAATATAAATAAAAACAAAGAAATGTTACAAAGCTTATAAGTTATATTTTTTCTTTTATTATTTAGCAATAAAATTTTAATAAAAACTTTTATATAAATATAATTTACTTCTAAAACATCATCAAAAGTTGCAAAATTAGTTCGTAATATTTCTTCACATTCAGCAGAATCTCTTTCAATTCCTTCATCATCTGTTTCACCTGATTGTCCATGGTCCATGGATTGAGTATGACATCCATATTCAACTATATTAAGTAAAAATTTATATTTTATATAATGTAAATTTACTTTAAAACTTAATAAAATGAATATAAAATCTAAATTTCAACTAACTTTTGGCAATAAATAAAAAATATATCATCCCTAACATTTCTAATACATTTTGATCTATATAAATATTAATATGATAAAAATAAATTCGAAATTTCTGTTATAAAAACAATAATTGATATATTATTCTAATAAGATCCCCTAAATTTTGTATAAATAATTATTTACAATTAATAATTGCATTGATTAACTTTAGTATATTAATAATCAATATGAATTCATTTTGTTCTATAAATATTACAATTTTACTATTGAATATAAAATTTAATTTTTTGAAAGTTCAGTTCATGAAATTAACTTGAGGAATAATAAAATAACAAAAATTGAAATATAAAACATAAGTGACAACTATTAGGTAAGTGATTAGATTTGACAAGATATTAAATAGTGAAATTTTTAGTTACATATTTTATTTACCAACCACTTATTTAATTGTATTGTAGAACAATATAATTATAAAAAGTTTTAAGTAAAGGTAAAGCCTAAATCATCTATATCTATAATTCCAGAAATAATTTAAAAATATTACATATTCTGTTTTTTATTTATACATGATTTTGATACTTTATTACTTGATCTTTGTTATAAATATGAAATGCCAAATAGGGTTTTTATAATATAATCTCTATATTTTGATAATTACATTATAATTTTATTATATTAAATTGGTACAAAAATAATTTTAAAATATAAAAATAGTACATTTCTAAATTTATATCATTCTAGAAGAATTGTATTTATAAAATATTTATTTTTTATATTAATGTCTTAACATACATTTACTACTTTAAAATTTTTATTGATTAAATATGATGGTTAATATTTTATTAACAAATGCCATACAAACCAAATTAACATGCATAAGGATTTAAAAATAAATTTATAAATTATTGAAAATGTAGTGTTGTTTGGTTTTATATATTTACAAGTTTTGAGTAAAAGCAACTTTTTTTAAAAATAGCCCTTTTTGTAGTGGACTACTTTTCATGGAAAGTAGTAGCAAATGTAACATACTTTTTTAAGGTATTCAACTCTAACAACTATTAGAATGGGTAGATGTGGATAATAGTGAATGGAAAGTATATTTGAAACATCATTCATCTTATCATTAACAATCAACTTTACTTTATTAATCATAGAAACTATTGTTGTAATCAATAAAAAATAGTAACATTAATATCCATTTAAATTAGAATTAAAAATCAAAATAGTTGTAATTTTATAATGCAAATTTTATAATCTTCATCAACTTATTACAATTTACTGAAATTCATGTTTGAAGTATGAGATATATTTATATTTATATATAAATAACAATTAACAAGAATTATAAAACAATTACCTATGACTTTTATTTTTTATTTCAATAATAATAATAAAAATATAAGCATTTAATATTTCCATATAGACACTAAATTATACTGTAAATATGTTTTTACACAATTTATGTTTTTATAAATAAAACTAGGTTCATCACAAGACAAAAAATATAGATTCATGGCTATAAGATTTTAGGTAATTTTAGAATCATTAAAAAATAGTTCAGGTAATCAGTATAATGATATTTAATTAAACTGATAAATAATTGTAAAATATGGTTAAAAATGAATAGTATCAAATATTTATGTATTTTTTAGAAGTTTAATCTACTTTTATATAAACTATTTACATACTTTGTAAACAGTTATAACAATCGTATATATTATAAATAATTAACTATTTAATTTTATAAAAGATAATTAAAATATATTATACATACTATTTATATATGTTCAAATTGTATAACATTTCTACAAGTAATAAGTTTCCTAATTTAGACCTATAATTTTTTTTTTTATTTAAAATACATTTATAATATAGTAATGCAATACTCACATGAAGCTATCATTCGTTTGATTAATGACTCTAATTCAGGATTTAATGATCTTTCTTCATCTTCATCGATGCCAAAATCTAGCACTTGAAAAACTATGTAACCTAAACTGGCAATAACCTGTAGAAATAATTATTGAGAAATATTAATTATACGATAATTAAAAATAATAAAATGTCATCATATTCAATAACATTTATTCAAAAATGATTAGATTCATTAAAAAATGTTCTTATTGAATAATATAAATAATAACGTGAAATTAATTAAATTTTTAATAAATAATTGTATACTAATTTAAATGTATATTACTTATATTGAATGCTTTAAAGAATTCAATGATTTTTTTTTTTTTTGTATATAGAATATCAATAATCCAAAATACAAGAGAAGCAAAATAATTTAAGAACTTTCATTAAATTCTACCATACATAATCAATTATTAAAGAATATGTCTCAATAAATTTCAAAAGAATTTTCTCAGGTTCATATAATTTTGGTAATAATACACATGTATACAATATACATAAAAATGCATTTAGAAAACAATGTAGATTTATAACTAAATCAATTAAAATATAAAAATCATCAATAATTATATTAGGTATTTCTGATTTTTTTTTATAATCTAGAATAATTATGAAAACTACAAATATATATATAAATAAAATAATAAAATTAAAACATTTATCATTTAGTTTAATATTTAAATGTAAGAAGTAGAAAGTATATTTAAAAAGGAAGTAAATGCATTTTGAAGCAAAATACAAAACTACATACAAACTACAATACAAGTTAATTTTATACAGAGGAAATTTAATTATTACCTACTCATTTTATGTTTTAGAAACTATGTTAATTTTCATAACAATACACGGTTCCCAGAATACCAAAATAAAAATGTTAGTTCTATATTAATTAATAACCTACAAAACCTTAGAGTTAAGAAAAAATATTCAACTATATTGACCCAGAACATATGTATTGCATATAAAATTGAAATACAAAACGTAAACTCAATATAAATTAATTTATTTTAACACAAATAACTACAGACAAAATATTTGTAATTATTTAAATAAGTTTAGTTAAAAATAACAACTAAACCTATTTAAAGACCATAAATACCACAGAAAAATAAAATTATCATTATTACATTTATTGAAAGTTTAAATTTACTACATAAATATAAACCTATGTCATAAAATAAGTACTTACATGATGTTGAAGTATAGTTTTATTGACATTTTCATTACCAAGTTTTTCACCTGGTTTTTCATTATTTTCAAGAGATTCAGCTGAAATAAATATAATAATAAAATATAGATTTTAGAAACAAATATAATAATATAGACATTATTTTGGATTATTAGGTCATTAGAAACATGATAAAACTATTTAACATACAATTCTGAAATAATTAAGTAAATTTATAATATTGAGTAATAAAACAATATATATATTAGTAATTAATCTAGTTATTATAACATGAGAGAATATTTAACTAAAACTAATATATTCAATACTATTCTTTATCTTGTATTAATAATTTATTCTTAAAATAACTATATTCCTATGGATATTTAAAGTGGAGATCATTAGGATTTCTATAGTTGCCTCAAATTACAATTTAAATTAAATTTATACAGTATCTTACTTTGTACAAAATAATAAAATATCAAAGACATATACTATTATATAATTAATAAATCAATATTTATATAAACTAAGAAATAAACTTATAGAAAAACTGGGCAAAGCCATATTATAATCAGAAGGAGGAATGTCTGTTTATTACTAAGGGTCGGAAGTTCTAGTAAATGCATATTTTTCTTGGTTGATCCTTGGACATCCAATGTATGATACAAATATGTTTCTTACTACTCGGATATCATACACAAAATTTAATTTTGCTATTTTTTTGCATATTTACGGGTTTTATTGTTATTTTGCTAATTTAGGGTTTATAGTGCTGTTTTCAGGTATTTTTTCACATAATGAAGGAAATAATCAAATTTTATTGATAATAATTGTATTTACTTGGTTATGTTTTTAAAAATATTTTAATTATTTAAAATAAATAGACTTTATCACATATTATTTTATGTTTTCATTGAAAATTTGATGTATTAATAGTTATACCATCATTGTTATTTTTTTATTACATCATTGCATTAGATTATCAAACATTTTAATAATCTAGGATAATTTCCAAGGTAAATATATAAAATAATTTAATAATAAGTATATTTTTACAAAAATATTTATGTAATTTAAAATTTTTGTTAACGGTTTATAATTCAATCAGTCTAGACCAATGGCATATCCAGGATTCATTTAAAGGGGGTGTTTTAAAATTTAATAGATTTATGGTAAGTGGAAGGCTCTGCCCCTCTCCTTATGTTACAAAAATAAATGTAATGTATTTATATAAATTATTATACTAATGAAAATAATTATATTAAGACAGTGTATGTAGAATCCACAAGTTGTATACAATGTTTATTCTAATTATACTGTAAATAAGTTTGCAATTTGATGAAATACCATAGAATATGGTCGATGAGGGGTATTCTAACATCCCCCCTAAATACGTCGCTGGTCTAGACTGTGTATAATGAGCCCAACAATTTGTATAATTACATATTTTTCAAGTTAAACGCATATTTTTTGATTTTTCGTGCTATTAATAGCGCATATTTTAGAGTTTTTAAGTTTATATTTAAGAGCTAAAAAGTAATATTTATAGTGCTACAACTTCCGAACCCTGCTCGTTACAATAAAAAATAAAATGTACTGAACATGAATATTAAAATTTAGATATCTATATGAGTTTCAAAGTATTATCAACTAATATTTGAGGAAAAATAAAAACATCTTACTTAATTATTTTTTAAATGCAAAAAACAACTACGAACATATTTAATATAAAAGCAGCACATGTTTTTATAATACTAATACAATATACCTACTAGACATTATATACACACACACGACTAAATATATAAAATAAACCTATTTTAGTTATTTTGTACAGCTCTACATAACATTTGACATGAACTAGTAGGTGATTATAAAATATTCTAAAATCTAACAAGAGCATAGGTTAGTAGAAAATATTTCTGGGGTAATTTAGTAAAACCAACTATGTTTTTATAACTATATCAACATTTTAAGGATTTTATTTTTTTATAAGTACTGGGGGAAGTCTATTGACAACCCTAGAATCATAGGGGTGCACAAGGGGGTTGTCGGGTGGGTCACGTCCCCCTCTGCAGACTCTGGCTTTTTCTTTAATAAATGTTTATCTATACTATACAAGATTGCGAACATTTTTACATTTTACATAAATAAAGTAAAGCCCGTTTTAATCTAATAGTATAGAATTGATATCTGTGAATAAATGTAATAAAGTTATTAGTTATTAATCAGACTAATCAGAACTTGCATGTAATATAAAAATTGAAGATGTAATTGATATATTCAAAAACCTTATTCCTGTGGACAGAAGGATGAAGTTCTAAATAATATGATATGTAAATAAGGATTTCTTAGACATAAATTGTGTAAGTATAAATAGTATTTATTTTTATATTTGCATATTGAATTAAATAAATAATTTATAAGATTTAAAATATTTAATTATACTAGTAGTCTTTAGTACAAGAATCTTTGGTTCACTTTTTTTAAAGGGCTCCCCTTGCAGACAGTTTGCGCATGCTTATGCCTAGGATTTAGACATATTTATAAACATTAGTTTATACAATCACTATATGATAGCATATGTTTATAATGTAATTTAAAAATTATTATGAAATTAATAGGTTCTGCATCCTTTTTAAACAATTTTGTTTTTGAAAGAAAAAAATGTATTGGATCAATTCTGATAGCATTCTTACTATCTATTTTTGAAAAACATACACATCTAATGAGAAGTAAATTATGATTTATAAATGTGTTACTTAATTAAAATATCCTTATGAATTAATTCTATTTTTAAATTATTTATCTAGTTGTTTAACTATATAATACATCTGATAATACCTATATAAATTAAAAGGTTATGAAAGTTTAAGTTACTAAATTATTGGTGAAATATTATCAAATAAACATAGATCTATTATGATTATATTGAATTTTAATACTCATAAATTAGAATAAAAAAATAATTAAGTTAGCTACTCAAATTGGCTTAGCACTTTTTATAACAATAATTAAATATATTAGTTTATTAAAACCATGTTTGCAGTGTTTGTACAAATAATAATTTGTTTTATAATTAATTCTAATTTTTATCTTTAAAAAATTTATATAATGAAAACTAACCAAGGCAATATACTTTTTATGATAATCAATAATATGAAAACCAAATAGGTAAATCTTTTAAAATGTACAGTAGGAATATTAATGATGTTTATAGATTACAATATGTATTTTTGGAAAAAAAATCAAGTACCTATAAATTGAGTACACTTGTGTAAGCAATACACATATGTTCTCTATTCCCATAGTTAAAACTAGAACTAACTCAAATATTGAAATATTTATAAATACAGAATAGATATTTAGAGAAATATAATTTATTGATAAAATAATAACACATATTATATCTATCAACAATAAAAATAAATGTTATAAGTATGTAATATTGAACTTCCGATTTGTTTACAAAAAAAATATTCTAATACTGTAATTATAAACATGTAGCTAGTGTCTAATTCTTTATAACTTAAATACTCAAAAACAATACTCAAAGTTGAAATATAATATATATGTATGATAATATCTGATTATATCTTTGTAAGGTATAGACTGAGTATATATATATACATATAATTTTAATCAAGGCTGGGAATGTGAATTATATTATTTATTTTAACTGTATAAAGTGTAGTTGAAAGTTTTTAACGATGTTTTTAATACATGATTAATATTAATACAAGTAACATAAATAATGAATAGGTAAATATAATGTATATAATCTATCCTAGGGTAAAATATCATATTATTATATGTATTTAAATACAATAACAAATTTTGAGAGATAAAAGGTTGAAAATTCTAACTTCTTCTGAAATTAGGATATTCATAATAATTGATAGGTGATGAGTGAGCACTTAAGATAAAACTTAGTATAAGATGAACTGCAAAAATAAAAAAGCAATATTTAAATTTGTAAAAAGAGTTATGAAAAATGTAATTGGAATTTCAATTGAGTTGTACAAAATTTAAGATTATCAAAATTAATCAATGACCACTTTTGTATTTATCTATTATCCTAACATAGCAAGGTGTTTCTTAATAGTTATCAATGATTAGTAAGATATCATCAACAGTAAAAATTAATTTAATTGGGTAGTAATTATAATACAAAAAGGGTAAATATTACATACCAACTTCATCAGTGATTATGATGGTACTAGGATGAATAAATCCGTCCTTATGAATACGGACTTCCTCCAAATTCTTGACAACTCGACATCTGTTTGGCTCTCGTTCAAAAGCATTCTTAAAACACTTGGCACACTGATAGCAAAGAGCCCATGCGTGTTCTTCGCTGACGGGTGTATTAAACGATTTAATGATGTTTATGAGTGACACACAATCGTTGTTGTCCAACTTGCACAAATATGGCTTGAAATTATTTGGCACATCCATATTTCACATGGACCCAGAGTAAGCGATGCAAGTCGCTCTCAGTCTCAATAATAATTTTATTAGCCAAGGAGAGCAAGAGAGGTTTAGTAACACAGTATTAGATGGAAACAATAATTAGAAAAACAGACATCAAGATGTGTACCAAATGTCATAAAAATATATCAAGCTAAATGCACAGTCGAATACACGCGAATAGGGTACAAAGTTGCAATGTTTTTGTGACGATCGCAAACGAGTCAACGGAAAACCGTCGCACACTCGTAAACTTGGACGTTAAAACACAATCCGTACGCACGAGCGAGACGAGACGGAACACTATTTATATAGGTAAATGTTATAATACGTGAAATATATGGATTAATTCGAAATTCACGCGTCAACGAAGGTGTGAACAACCGGCTGTTGGTGACGAACGACGTTGACAGTCAGTGACTTCGGTGTTGTTAGGATGTGTAATTGCACGATAATAAAATGATAAAAAAAAAAAAAAACACAGAACGGAAATAATAAAAAAAAACACACCGACGCGCTCAACGATGGCAGAAGTGGTGACGGTCGCGGTACTGGTCGGTATAGTAGTGGTTTGGCGGTGGACCTACATTGGTAGGTGGCGACGGACTGGAATCGTTAGGTGGTGGTGGTGGCGGTGGCGGTGTAACGGCGGTGGGTAGGCGATGTTTGTTCTGATGGAATTTTTTCCGTTTAGAAAGGTAAGACGCGCGCGGGCCATGTGCACCATCCACCGACGACATTACGCCGACGCGGCGTATTTTCCGATCTCCGTATTCCATACATATATGTTATAATGTATAGTAATTATAATGCATAATATTATAATATGCGAACATTTGTACTATATCTGACACCTTTATCGGACCCACGGAACTGAGATGACCTTCATTCGAGCAATCTGTAAAATGGTCGCTGTAACCCACTCCTAAGTATAGGCCCTTTGACCGGATTCAGGAATGAAAACTGCTATTTGTAATTCATTTATTTCTTCGCGTAACGAAGTATATGGGTCACATAATATAGATAACAAGTATAGTAATTGGTGATACGAATTTATTTGCAAAGTTCCAAGTGTCCGATGATTATTAAAATGTTCATAGTTTAGTTACATAAACGTATGTACATTAGGTCTGACGACCTTATAACCATTTAATTACATATTCACGAGATATTTTATTTAAATTTCGCACTTGACAAAATCGTATTGTGCAATAGCTTGAAATGGAGACTTTCAGTGTACCTACCAACAATCCACATATAGTTATTTAATCGTACTGTTTATATATTTATTTTTGTTTATTTATTAGTGCTTTATTTAAACAATTGACAATCAAAACAATTCTAGTTAATGGTTCGTCTTAATAATTGTACAACGTTATACAATTATTGTTTTCATAAAGTTATTAATTACATACATATGTCAGCGTATAAAATAAAAGCGATATCCTATCAGTTGCACCGAACCCTACATCTAAGGCTGGGCGCACACTTATAGAGCAAAACTGCTCCGAGCAGCTCGAAGCTGTTTGGATATCATAAGAACACGTATAAAGTAATTAACGCGTACACACTAATCAGTCAACAACAACACACGACAAGACAAAACAAAATATGTTCGGTCTTGATCCGTCTGATTTTATTTTTGCTCCGACCAAAATACGAAAATCAAAGTCGCTTGTTTATTCTACGACTAGTCAGTGGTGAAGCAAGGGTAGGGTGAACTGTGCCTACACCAGGTGCGCAAAATTGTGCAAAAGTCGTATTTTTATCCTACAATCAAATCGAAATTTTTTCGTTATACTTTTTGAAATACGTAGATGTTGTCTATTTGTACACACTACGTGCATGGGCGTACTTTAGGGGAGGGGCAAAATTTTTGCGTTTTTATTTACTACTTTTATTATTTAATAAAAGTTGCCACATAAGCAGCACAACGATGTCGTCTTTGTCAGAACTCATCTTGACGACTGGTGTTTAATAACAAAAATTAATCCAGAATTATTGTGTCTTGTTCTGTTCTGTTTTGTCAGTGTGAATAGAATTTATTTCAAGTTGTTTAGAACAAAATGTTCTGCGTAGCTCGGAAGTTTTTCTCTTTAGGTGTGCGCCCAGCCTAAGTAAGTAAAGCCCCTATCATGAGGTTATTATGAAATATTTTGTTAGTTGGGTGGTCGGTGATCCAGCAATTTATTAATCACTGTGAATTATAAAAAATTTAATAAGTAACTCATTAGTATTTAATATCTAGTAGAACAATATGTTTGTTCTATTCATCAAACATATTTTGTATTAAGTAAACATTAATAAGCTCTTAATCCAGTCATGGGGTAGTGGTGTCATTTATTTTATAAATGTGCACTTCCTAAAATGTCAAGTCTTGACGCCACTGATCCCTATCATGTAAGGAATTTCTTTCACTATATATATAGTGGATTCCGTTTAATGTGGACGCATTGGAACCAAACCAAACTGAACCGATTGTCGTCGAGTTTAAGAAAAAAACTACAAGTCGCTTTACTTATTTTATTATTTTTTTTTTTTTGTATTTCTCTCGATATCACTCCTATACATTCAATTAAACTCCCAACTAAGTCCCATTATGGTTTAAAAGTTAATGATTTTCATTACTTTTGATAAACAAAATATTATAGATATGACGAACCTAACAGTATTCAATCGTTATGATAAGATAAATATTTCCCATGTTTATTGAACCGAGTTCCTCAATATGCGGTTTTTTAACTTTATTAGTATCCATTGGTTTTCAGATCAGACCATGTGACGATATATTATATTATACATACATTTATCCATAGTACATTAACTAATTATTTTTTTTTACATAATTAAAAAAATTTCTTTTGATAATTAATTATGTTTTTCGTCCAGTCATTTAAAACACTATCAACAACTAGGCGACAAAATATTTTCACTGTCGCCTAGTTTAAAAAATACACCGATATATATAGACGTTTATTTATTGTTGTTATTTATATGTTGTATAATGTTTGATCAAACGCCATTCAGATAAATTTCAATTTGAAGCTCTGGATTGAATTTCCTAATAAAGACTTTTAAAAATTTATGTAGAATATATTTTGGAATAAATTTTGTTTTATATCATATTTTAAATTTAATCACCTAATCTTCATTGAAAATGTTTGGTTACGCCGTCTAGTGTAATTCAAAATAAAATATGTGTAGTATTTAGAAGGTTATTGTTTTGCATAAGGCTAGAAGAAACTGTGAATTTTTTCTATGCGAAAGCCATAACCACATATGCGTAGGTATGTGTTTGTGAGCCACGATTTTTCGTTATCCACCAGCAAAATAAAATGTTAAATAGGCTACTCTTGTCTACTACAAGTATGTAAATACTTTTAAAGCATTCCGATGTTATTCGCAAACGATCAACGTTACATAAACGTGTATAAATATTTAAATGTAGGATGTAATTATAATAATATTTATAGTAGAGGAGAGGGAAAGATGACCATGAACCGTAAGAAGTATGTAACCAGGATTTATTTATAGAGGAGGGGAGTTAAAAATTTGAAAAAAATTTAATTTTGGAAGATGTTTGGTCGAGAAATTACCTATTGGGGTAGGTAAGGTTAAGTTAATTACATATGTCGGAAGGAGGATATAACCCTCACTCCCAGTTGCGCCACTAACCGTAGGTATACAGAAGGCCGCGTTAAGTCTACGGGAAAAACAAATTGCGTACTCAACACGACGTACAGTCAGTTTGTAAATCATGAGCCACTTTAGTTGTTATATTATACAGCTGAATTAAAAAAAAACATCTATCGTATGTTTTCAGGTTCAAAATGTATGCAATTTTACCGAAACGCATAATGCGCTCGGACGTAACGAAATGGGTTAGGCGCGTTGTCTATATTTCTTTCGATCTATTCTATCACCGGATAACATTCCGTTCCGGCACTCGCAGCGGCGCCGTCTCCTACTGTAATAACCTGTCGCCGCGTATGTGATATCGTTATTACTACTATTATTTAACTTTCGTATGTATTATAATACATACGAGCATTATAATAATAGTAATAATAAATAATAATAATATATATACACATTTGCATAATAACTATACGTCATTATTAAACAGAGTTAAATAATCCATTCAGTTACATAATTATAATTCCGTCTTTGTATAATATAAATCCTGATACGAGTATATCGTGTCATATAACTGATACATCTCTATGCCCACAGATGCGTGTTGACGGATGATAAATCGAAAAACGTTCGAACTGTTAATATTGTACCATAATATTTACATCATATTGGATAATAATAATAAATATTAAATATTATCGTTATATAAGAATGTATGGTGTTGTGAGCGTGATATTTTTCTTTTTTGTTATTTATGGTATAACACAACTCTATACCCATGTACTAAATTATTTTACCAAGTTTTTATTTTGGGTTTCCATAAAACAATATTTTTTATAAATCTTGTAAACTTTTTTTGCGAGTAAATTAAATGATATAATATACAATATACATATTATTTATTTATTATAAATATTACGTGTGATAAATATATTATGTAATAAATAATAATTGATTATAAAAAAGTATTCAACGTTATAAAATTTAATAAATGTAACATTGTGATTTTTTTGCTTTCGTAATTCGTACACAGCTGGTAACTGATAAACAGGTATACCTACCTGTTACTATATTTAGTGACAATCCAGTTTGACGTATAAAGTTGTAATACATTTAAAAAAAAAAAAAAAATATGTCAGTGATCACTATAAGAAAGGGATTTCGAAGGAACTATAAAAAAACATTATGTAAAAATGTGTGACATCAAATAAATGTAAATTGTAACATACTAATAATATTGACTAGTTATTTTCATCAAGATCGTTCTGATCATTTGTAGTAAGTAGCAATTTTCAAGAACTTAAAACCTAATTTAACAAAATATTTATTTATTTATTTTTTATTTTATTTTATTAGATAATACTCTCGAAGGCCAATGTAGTACAGATAGTGATATAATATTAGGCTATAGTATTTAATATTAATTGTTAATTATAATAATAATACAATGAAAGTGTATATATGCATCTTATTTTTGTTTTTAATCGTCTTAGATATTTTACGCTTAACTTGTATAAATATAAATCATAAAACCAGGTCAAGATTAAGTACAATAATTTTGAAAGAACCAAATTGACAAATTGCTAAGTAGTAAAGAATTATATATATTTTTATAAATTTTAATATTAAGATTTGATTATGTAGTGCAAAAACAAGTCTTTGAGAAAAATAAGTATTAAAAGGCAAAAGTGAGATATTTTTTGGCCATGGCAGAGGGGGCACACATTTTAAATTTTTAAATTTTTCAAAAATTTGCCAGTATAATAAGACAAAAGTACAAATTTAAATTGTGCAGCACTTGTATATTGAAAGCTGTCGAGAGCCACATGGATCTAAGGAAATATTCCAATTTAGACAAGATTTTAATTAGGTACGGAGGTATATTAACCATAGATATCAATATTATACTAGATAGCCGAATCTTCAAATCAATGATGCAGTCATATACCAAGACCTATAAAGAATTCTTTATAGATCTTGGTCATATGCAGGTATAATATAGATATTTATGACTGATAAGTTCAGTAAAATATGATAAAAATATTTTCATCCTATTATCATGCAAGGTTTATAGATTAAAAATAAATACATATTATAATCTATACTAGCTTCTGTGTGCCTCGCTTCGGGTGAAATTCGCTTAATATATTTATTAGTACCTAATTAATTATTAAAATTACATGCAATATTACATTTGTGATAATTATTACTATTGATAATATACGAGTGGAAAACTGAAACGCCTTCGGCGTCAAAGGCGTTCGTTATCTAGCAGACCTCCACCTAATTGTTTTTTTAAAAGTACTACGGTACTATACTTTCAATCGATATGTGGTGTCAATCATATAAAAACCAATATATGTATAAAAAAAATCAAATAGTAGAGGGCAAACCGCAGTGTATTTGAAAATAATCAAGCATAATAATAGTACCCATAGAACGTTGTCTCCTCGACAATAGTTAAATGCAGTGGACGGAGTCCCTCTTCTTATTTAAGGTAAGATTATTCGTCCTCTTTAATTTAAGTCGCCAAAAGTCTGGGTGGACGCTTAATGGTATTAGTCATTAAAATACAATATTGAATAAACAATATTATTATAATATTACAATATTGTATGAAATTAATTTTTTTGATTAATTTGAACAAGTGGAAAAAAGAAATAATATGTAGTCATAATATATATAGTATTTACATTTATTTGTATTTATATATTACAGTAATAATGTATTTCAATTTATTTTTACTGAGCAAGCATATGTAGAGAATTATTTTTCTTTGAGAGAAATTTGTTTTTACACCCTATGAAAATAATTTTTTTAAGAACATATGTATGTAACAGAAGAGGTTTAGACCTCATGGGTTTCCTAAAAAAAGTTGGTAAGATTTAGAATTAGTTAGGGGAACGCTCCTCAATTTTTGATGCATATAGTCCTCCCACAACATTTTTCCCACTTTAACCACTAGTTAAATGTTAAATATGTGTATTATTTATTATATTTAATAGACAGGCATAGAATTTAAAAAAAGGTATAAATATGCATATAGATCTTGATATTTCAATTATAGAATAAAATATAAATTTATGATTAAAAAAACATTATAAGTGTATTCTTTGGTAAGTTAACCTATAGTAGAACGAAGAAACACTTTTATTAAAAGTATGTTAAATACAACAATTTATAAGTTTCATAAACACTAGGTAACTTGACATTTTTTGAAATATGGAATTATCAAAGTATAAAAACATTCAAATACAGTATAATCGGTTCAAAGAAAGAAGTCATAACGCATAACTTCTTCTTTCAATAATAATTAATCAATGTATAAATATATATATATATATATATATACACAACATGAGTCTGCACACAAAAAACTATAAAAATGGGGATAGATCTTCCTTGATATTGTCTGAAAAAAAAAAAATGTGTGATACATGAATACTTTATAATAGGTATGTATATATAAATGTTGGTGTTAGTTACGTTTTACACTCTAAACATTCTTAGTGAAAAATGCATCCAAGAAAGACCATGTGGAGGTCATCAACGCCTTTCTAACATTCAAAGTACATAAAAGTACTCATCATCAATAATTAAATGTTATATAGAGAGAATATATAAAAATATAAAATATAAATAATTTAAGAATGACAGAGTATGAAAGTTTCTTGTAATCAGACCACATATATGCTTTTAAGCCTAAAGAATGTATGAAGATAATGTATAAAAATTTGAAACATAACAAAATCAAAGGAAATATTTTTATTATTATACAATGTTCCAGTAAGATACGGTTTAAGTAAATAAACTATATACTAAAACTATAATATTTTCTTATATTAAGAGAAAAGTATATTAATAACCAAACTCTTGGGTACAACAGTACTACACTCATGTTGGAGCATTTGTTAATTCATTACTCTGCAACCAACTATGAGCAAAGTAAACAATATAGTTCAAGATATTTTAAAAAGACATTTATATCATAGTGAAATAAGAGTGTTAAAAATTGTAATTCTTACCATGTTTTCTTTATTTTATAGTTGTGTTTGTTTTGAATAGTATTATTAGCAGCAATAACACATTGAATTCAATTTCATTCCAATAAAAAAAGTACAATGAAAATATACAACACTTTTCTCCTATATTACTTGGAAAAATAAATCAAATGTAATGAATTTAACATATTTAAAAAACAAATTTATAATTATTTAACATAATTTAATGACACAATTAAATCATAGTCGAACAATAGACTTAATAAATACATATGTGAATAGAATTATAAAAATTGTTTTAATTTTTAAATCTGATTGTGTTTATAAAAATATCATTAATGTCAATTACATTCCTTCTCAATGAAAACATCCAATTGCTCTCTCCTAATATTTTTTGGTAAAACAAATAAAAATTAATGTAATTAACACATTTAAGGCTTATAGTATGAAGAAGGTAAAACTTACTGGTTCTTCTTATTTTCTTAATATCATAAAAGTTTTCATTTCCTTTAGTCCAAGTGTAACGAATGATACTGTAAGAATCTTTTACTAAAACTAGAAAAAATAACATTTAATATATATATAGTTGAGTTGAGAGAAAGAGTTAAAAAATGTAATACACACCATGTTTTCTTTATTATATAGTTGTGTTTGTTTTGAATAGTATCATTAGCACCAAAAGCACATTGAATTAAATTCCATTCCAATAAAAAAAAGTATAATGAAAACATATAACACTTTTCTCCCTATATTCAGGGGCGGATCTAGGGGGGGTTCAGAGGGTCAGCTGACTAACAGTTAATATTTGTTGACAAAATTGGCCTATTGGAAATTTTTTTCTCTTTTAAGACCTTGATTTGGACTCTTGGACAGTTGGCCCATCGGAGTTACATGAAAAATGAATGCCATGTATATTCAAAGTTTTAAATTATTCAATTCATAATTTATATTTTAAATTATATCGTTTTAGTAGAATGTTAAGTTAATCATATTTATTCCGTTTGTTTGTTGTGCTGATAAAATTAGATTATATTTATTAAACGTAAATAAGTCATTATCGGTGGTATCACTAATTCTAAAATGTAATATAAATATACATATACACTCTTATGAGCATATTGTTTTTTTTTTACAAGGTATTAATTTCTAATTCAGTTTCATCCCTTATAAATAGCCTCTTGAAATGGCTTGACCCACAATTCCCCGATTCTGGATTCGCCCCTGCCTATATTGTTTGGCAAAATAAATCTTATTGAACGTAATTAACACGTATAAAAACAAATTTATGATTGAAATATAATACGTACCATGTTTTCTTCGTTTTATAGCTGTGCGTGTGCGTTTAATAATATCATTACAGTCTTTCACATCAAATTAATATATGTAATGAAAACATCCGATTATTTTTCGGTAAAACAAATCGAATATTAAATAACGTATATAAAATAATACGATTAAAGCGTAGTACGAAAAATTAATAAAACGGGCTCGAAAACGATTTAAAAAAAACGTTTGAAACGAAAACGAAAAAAAAAATCGGACGCGACGGACGGAAAAAGAAAAAAGAAAACGCAGAGAGGCAATTGCACGCCGAGCTCTCGATCGGAATGAGAACCGACGGCGGCGGTAGACGCCGACGATGGTGTAATCAAAATTGAACGGACGAAATTGGTTTTTAAGTTATGTCCAGGGCTCGGAAGTTGTAGCACTAAAAATGTTACTTTTTAGCTCTTAAATATACACTTAAAAACTTTAAAATATGCACTATAAATAGTACGAAAAAATAAAAAATATGCATTTAACTTGAAAAAAATGTAATTTTACGAATTGTTAGGCTCATTAGACACAGTCTGAACTGATTGAATTATTAAATGTCAACAAAAATGTTAAAGTACTTAAATATATTTGTAAAAATGTACTTATTATTAAATTATTTTATATATTTACCTTGGAAATTATCCTAGATTATTAAAATGTTTGATAATCTAATGCAATGATGTAATAAAAAAATAACAATGATGGTATAACTATTAATACATCAAATTTTCAACGAAAACATAAAATAATATGTGATAAAGTCTATTTATTTTAAATAATTAAAATATTTTTAAAAACATAACCAAGTAAATACAATTATTATCAATAAAATTTGATTATTTCCTTCATTATGTGAAAATATACCAGAAAATAGCACTATAAACCCTAAATTAGCAAAATAACAATAAAATCCGTAAATATGCAAAAAATAGCAAAATTAAATTTTGTGTATGATATCCGAGTAGTGAAAACATATTTGTATCTTACTTTGGATGTTCTAGGATCAACCAAGAAAAATATACATTTGCTAGAATTTTCGAGCCCTGATTATGTCTCTTTCAATATTTGATAATTATGTTAAATAATGTAATATAACTAAATTTAAATTATTATGTTGTAATCTAGTGGTACTATGAACCTATTACAACTCTACGAATCTCCGAGTTCGTAATCTATCACCGGTTAGAAAATATTTGCACTTTTTTTCTAATGTTTTAAATGTTTTAATTTGAGGGAATTTTAACCTAAAAGGTAAATGTTTACCCTCCGACCCCGACCGGTCTCGAGGTACACTCAAAATATTTTTTTTAATCTATAATCTACTTGGGGTGGTGTTGATTTACCTAGGGTTCCGAAAAAATTCCGGCGCGCACACGAATAATGTAGAGGGGATGTGGCGTCATGCTAAGATTTCGATTTCTGATATTAAGAGGTGTTCGCACAAATAGCTATATTATACTAGATGACGAACTTCCGATATCACTTGAAGCACGCATTGATTATGTTATCATTTGTCCACCATGTTTTGGGTTGGCAAAATATTGTATCAACACTATTCCCCACACATCACAATATTAATTATACACTATTTAGTAACTAATATTTATTAAATAAGCCTGTTTCTTGTGTTGCATACGGTTGTTCAAATCGCTTTAAAAGTAATTCCTCAATTCACTTTTTTCGGTACGTATGAAGTATAGATAATATGATTTAAAAACACCTCAACATTTACATTTTTAATTGCAATGTACATTCTCTGTATCTGTATACTCTCAATTAGCTGAAACATTCCAGAGGTTTACTCTCGTAAATTAGGAAAAGTTTTCTGCGCACCATGTTGGCTATTTAAATATGAATCTACCAATTTAGCTAATTGTGGATTTAACGATTTGAAAAATGCTCATATACGTTTTAAAAAACATAAAGGGTCGTTAAATCACAAAACATATTTACTAAGATTGAAAGATTTAGGACAAGAACAAGGAAGATTAGACTCCAAGTTATTAGTTCAAATTGACCATGAAAAAATTTATTGGGGAAGGGTTTTAGAAAAAGTAGTATTTATAATTAAAACGTTAGCTTCACCTGGACTACCATTCCGAGGACAAGAGGAAATTTTCGGATCACCTAAAAATGGAAATTACATGATGCTTCTTGAATTGTTATCCGAATTTGACTCTTTCTTAGCTCAACACATTTCGAAATATAGTAATTTTGGTATTGGTTCTACTTCATATCTAGCATCAACAATTTGTGAGGAAATTATTAATTTAATGGCCAAAAAAGTTAAGGAAGTAATAATAAATGAGGTTAAAATTCGTAAATATTTTTCAATAATTGTTGACTCTACGTCTGATATAACACATTCTGATCAACTTGCTTTTATACCTCGCTATGTCACCAATAAAGGTGTACCAATCGAATGATTTTTAGAATTTGTACCAAAAGTTGGACATATATCTTTGGAAGTATCCGAAACAATTATTAATACAATCGAAAATTTAAAATTAAATATATCAGACTGTCGTGGATAATCTTATGACACAGCTAAAAATATGTCAGTTTGTTATAATGGTCTTCAAGCTAGAATAATAAATATAAATTCGTTGGAATTTTATATCCCATGCGCAGCTCATTCACTTAATCTAGTAGGTACGCATGCAGTTGAATGTTGTAATGAAGCAGCTACATTTTTTGGACTAATGCAAAACGTCTATGTATTTTTTTCAAGCAGAAGTCATAAATGGGATATCCTCAATAATATGGGATCGAAATCACGTACATTAAAATCACTTTCCAATACCAGATAGTCATCGAGATATTCTGCTTGCCTGAGCGTCTACAGTTGTAGCCACATTAACTTATATAATGGATGATCACACTGAAAACAATATTACTAGACATGAGGCAAAAGGACTAATAAATAAAATGAGTTCATTGGAAACTACAATTATGTCAGTTGGGTGGGGTTTTTTATTTAGTCGATTAAACACAACAAGTAGTAAGTTACAAAATGTTGATATTGATTGTTTGGACGTTCTTCAATTATATGATAGTTTAATTAGATTAATAAAGCACACTTGTGAAAATTTTGATGATTATGAAACAGAAGCATTAGCAAAAATTACAAAATAAATACTACAAGAAAAAAGAAGAGAACAATTTTTCATGACGAATCTGAAGAAGTAGATTTATCGGCACGAGAGAGTTTTAAAATGCATACATTTATATCTATCATAGAAAAATTGCTTCGTGAATTAGAAACTAGGAGACACGCATATATTTTCTGTAAACTATTTACATTTTTAACACAGCTTAAGGAATTGGACAATCAAGATATAAGAAAATCAGTTAAATTCCCGCAAGACATTTATACAAATGATATAAAATTAAACGACTTAATTAATGAAGTTTTACATTTAAAAGTTCACATCGATGTAAGTTCTACTGGGGAAAAATACAATCTGCTTAGACTTCAAACATTTTGTATGTAGAAGATCTAGCAAATATTTACCTAAACATAGAAATAGTACTACACAGTGCTCAACTCGGCAAAATTAAAGAAGGGGGACTCTATTTACTTTGAAAAAAAGAACGTCCCCAAAACTGGTTGAGCGTTATGATTATAGCGCAATAATAGTAGGGGGACGCTAAAATTTCTGAAAATTATTTGGGGTACTCCGTCCCCTCTCAAGTCGAGCACTGGTACTACGTATTTTTACCTCCACAGTTGTCACAAATTGCTCAGCTCAAAGGTCGTTTTCATGCTTAAAGAGTAAAAAATTACTTACGTTCGATAGAACGTATCAGGATACTGATCCAATAAAAGTTGAATTCACTTGCGATTCTCAACATTGAAAATCAAATAACTTGTCAGATGAAATCATAGATAATTTCACTAAAGATAAATCAAGACGCAAAATGATTTAATTGTATACCAATTTACTCATATTATTACTTACTGACATATTATTTTATACTTTTTTAATCGGTATGTTTATCTATATACAAAATACAATTGTTATAAAGTTAAAGTTTTATTTTAATGGTTATTAAAATATTTTGTGAAAAAATAAAAGACAAATTTTTGAATAGTTATGTTAATGTATTTTGTTGTGGGTTACGGGGTGCCATTGCTAGAATCCACCTAGGGGCGGAAAAATGGTAAATCCACCTCTGGTTATGGGCCAAATAGTTAGTAAAATGTATTAATAATCCAATTTTGTATTTTAAACACTGTAATAAAGATGATTTTGCCACAAATTTAGGAAAAGATGATTTTTGTATTTGAAAATGACTAAATTTGTGTTGATGGGACCCATGATTTAAACTTTAAACAGTTAGGTACACTTTTATAAAAAAAATACAAAATATTAAACCTAATTAAAACATTTGTATTATATTTTCGTTTGAAATATTCACAATGAATTGTGTATTATTAAATTTATTTAACCATTTTAATTTAAATTTAGCAATATATAAAACTATTATAATAAAAATGATTTTATCGTTTTATCAATGTTATCAAATTTTGATAGCTGCAAAAAAGGGGCTAAATGTAGGAAATATTATATACAGACCCCTCCAGAACCTCTCCAAAAAATAAAAAAATAAACAAAAATTCTTACATATTTGCAGAATTGGTTATGTTAAACATTCACAGAGAAGTTGAAATTACTGTTGATGAAGTGATAGAGGAGTTGGCCAAAAAATCGAGACAACTGGAATTTATTTTATAACAATACTTTATAATATATAATGCTAAATACAATATATAGGTATATATATATATATAATATTATATAAGACTATACAATTATTACATTATATATTTAATTCAACTTCCTCCAAAAACTGCTTAAGGACGTAACTATTACAATATAATATATAATTTATATTAATTACGTATAAACTGTGGACCCCCCAGAAAAAATTGAAAATAAGCCACTGATAGTTACAGTTGTTATTTTTTTAAATGACTTGATGAAACAAGTATTTCATTTTATGGATTAAAATAAGTGATCAATAATTATGATACAATAACCATTTATATTTTATTTTTAATGTTTTTAATATGCACAAATATAAAATATTTTAAAACATTGATACAATCTATAATATACAATATTGAATAACAATTACTAGTTGACATTAATTGTTTACATATATGTGAGACCACAAAGAAACATAAAATAAAATTATATCGAAAAAATTAAATCCATATTCATTCTTTCTAAGAAATACTAAAAGGATATGTAGATATTTACTATTTCAGAGAATTAAAATTTTTTATAGATTTTATTTTTCCATAGTAAACCATTTAGCTCTTGGCTGTTACAACTTAAACTTTTCCATATTTTTTTTTATACAAATATATAATATAATAATTAATGAAAGTGATTTAATTATTTTTATAATTTAAAATTATTCAAATTATAATAAATATAGAACATATTTTCATGTATTTATTTATTACTATATATATATATATATATATAGTATTATTAATTACTTTTAGTAAATTATACTCCATATTCTATTAACTAACATAAGTAAAGTTAAATACTCTGATACAGAAATAAATAAATAAAAATGGTTGAGTAATTTAGATAATAAAATAATTAATTCACGTCATGCAGTTATTCTTTATTAAAAAAAAAAAAAACTATTTCATAGCATAATAAATGTATTATTATTTATATATATATGGACAAGTGAATAACTAAATTTTAAAAAAAGAATAATTTTTTTAATGAATGCAGCATATATGTTTTATAAAATGTATCATAATATAAATTCTGAGAATTTATTAAAACAATTACAAATTATTATTATCAAAATATCAATTTTTAGAATTTAATATAATAAATAAATTAAATTAGTATAAATAATATTAATCAATCTCAAATTTATAAAAAGTCCATAGTCAATTAAATAAATAGTAGTTAATTTTCTTTCGAAAATATATGACATAGTAATATTCAATTATATAAACAATGTAAATATCATAAATTAAATGAAAAATGCCAATCGATTAAATTTAAGTTGTAGAAACATAGTAATTTTTAAAGTTAAAAAAAAAAAATGAATTTGTTAGCAATAATTACAAAACAGCATAAATAGTAACACACAAAAAATATTAACAATACAAATTCATTTTTATGATCGAGTGTAACTGTAGATTTTGAATCAATATTTATCAATTATCTTTGAAACACTCTCCAAAAATTTATTTTCTGAAAAAATAAAAATGTTAGTACAGTTTGATTAGAGCTTAAAAAATATTAATTCAGATGAATAGGAACTTTCATCATTACTAACTATAGTTTAAAATTTAGTTAGATTTTAATAGTATGATTTAAGATTAACAATTTGGTGGAGTTGATGAGAACTCATGGCAAGCAGGATAATACACAATCACTTTTTCCAATTTTATTGGCCAACTCAAAATTTTTGATTTATATGAATAATAAAATAAACAAATTGTGTAAATATATAATAAGTATATACAATGTTTTTTTTTTTACTTTGATGTAGTATATTGATTGCAAATATTAGCACACTAGGTAATTTATTTTAATAAATAAGACAATTTATAAAAAAAACCAATTTTTTTAAAAAAATGTTTTCCCACATTTATTTCTTAAATTCTGATTGAACCAAAGAATGTAATTTTATTTTAAATTGTCTTCTTATATATTAGGGTATCATCCTCAATTTTTTTTTTAAATATTAGTATGAAACTACTAGGTTAAGCAAACGTTTAGCTTGTAATTGCATATTTATTCATTTATATTAATTAATAAACATGTTATAATAAGATTTTTATAATTTTATCAATTAATCATTTAAACAATCAGCTTACCAAATTCTTTAATTGAGTCCATATATTCACGATGTCTTCTTTCTTGGGCATGAGCATTTATTTTGGCTAATTCAACCATAGTTTTTGGTAAAATTTGATATAATACAGATAATGACTCTTGCTTTTCTTTATCTTCAATAGATTCAGTTTTGGAATTCATTAATTCATCAATTACTAAATCATGAATAGCATCTAAAGAATTAAGTTCTTCTTGAAAGTTAACAACTCCTTCAATTTGCTTTTTTGGTTTCTTCATTGATTGGTATCGGTGGAAAAACCTGAATTTAAATTTTTTTTTTTAAATGTTAAAAATAATAAATAGGTATAATAGATATTTTAAAAATAACAATTGCATATACTATAATATCTTGGTTGGCTACTGGAAAAAAACCTTTTCTTTTCTTCACAACAAAACGGATTCAGAAAACACCGCAGCACAATTAACAATCTCATTGAAATTAAAGAAGAAATTACCCAAACATTCAATAATAAACAAATTATGGGAATAATAAACCTCGATATTGCCAAAGCATATGACTGCACATGGAGACACAATATTATAATCAAATTGGACAAAATAATAAGTAAAGGAAACTTTCTTAACTTAATTACCAACTTTCTAGAAAACCGCACATTTAGGGTAAGAGCAAACAACTACCTATCTACTGAGTTTACTCAAGAAAATGGAGTTCCTCAAGGGTCGGCACTCTCAGTTACGCTCTTCCTTATAGCAATCAATGACATAACGAAAAATTGTTTACCACCAATTAAATGTAATCTATACGTAGATGATTTCAACATTTGGTGCAGAAGTAATAATAAAAGCACCGTTCAAAGACAATTACAAACAACCATCAATAATTTAAAAAAATGGTCAAAGAAAACTGGCTTCAGTTTCTCACCCGAAAAATCAAGTTGTACTATCTTCACAAAAAGAAGAAAAGTTGGCAAGCTGCAAATAACTAGATAAAACCTTAATTCAAAAAAAAAAACACAGTGAAAATGCTTGGTGTTTTGTTTGATAGACAGCTATCGTGGACCTCATACATAAAATATCTAAAAACAAACACCACTAACGCAATCAACATAATGAAAATTCTATCACATACATCATGGGGAGGAAGCACAAGCACCTTAATAAAAATTCATAAATCCTTAATTCAATCCAAACTGAACTACGGAGCAATATTATATAAAACAGCATCTAACTCCAAACTTAACTTTATAGATAGTGTTAACAACAGTGGACTGAGACTTGCATTAGGAGCATTTTGAAGTAGTCCAATTTTTAGCATTTACAATTTAGCCGGGGAGTCTCCCCTCGAAATAAAAAGGATAGAGATATACCTTAAATACACAGCAAGATGCGCTAGGTCCAGTATCACCATACACGAAAAAAACAATAATGATCTCATAAAACTAATTAAAGAAAACAAAATTAATCTACCTCATATTATAACCAATGAACTAATCACCCATCCGCCTTGGACAAGAAAATACCCAATTAATACAGGGCTCAGTTCATTACCCAAACAACAAACACCACATAATATATACAGAAACCATTTAAAAAGTATAATAGAAAACTATAAAGACAACCAAGAAGTGTATACAGACGGATCTAAAATACATGAAGGAGTCGGGCTATCAATAATATTCCCCCCAAAAAAAAATACTGTACAAACTACCCCACAATTGTTCCATATTCACAGCAGAAGCGATGGCTATTCTATAGGCTATTGAGATCATTATTGAAGAAGAACATTCAAAGTTCATCATTCTTAGTGACTCGCTAAGCACCATAAAAAGCATCCAAAACCATTTCAATCCAGGGGACATTGCAACAAAAATTTAAAACAAACTAAACGAAGCATATGAACACGGAAAAAAAATAACCATTTTGTGGATACCCAAACATGCAGGAATAAGAGGAAACGAAATAGCAGACGAACAAGCTTCACTTGCAATAAATAATACAGATACTCCTTTGATAGAACAAATATAATACGATGAAACAAAAAAATACATTAAAATAATCACCAACGACAAATGGCAAAACATCTGGTTCAAACAAAATACCAAACTCAACGAAATCAAAGGTGACACTACCCAATGGTATAACCCCTCACTCAAATGAAAAGAAGAAACAGTAATAAATAGACTACGGATAGGACACACTAGAATCACACAAAGTGGAACCCCCCCCCCCCATCTGCACAACCTGCGGAACAAATCTCACTGTCAAGCACATCATATCGGACTGCATGAAGTATAATCAAGAAAGGATGAAACACGGGATATCACACAACCTCGATACAACCCTTGAAGCCTATCACCAACTCAACGCAGATTTAATTAACTTCCTCAAGCAAACCAATATTTATAACCAAATCTAAATATGTAGGCAAACAAAATGTAAAAAAATAAAATAACTAATGGCCCTTGTTGCTGAAGTTGATCAATAAAAAAAAAATAAATAAAAATATCTTGGTATATTTGCATCTGAAAGTATTTAAATTGGAATCATAGTTACAGAACATTTTTAAAGTAACAATAATTTAAACAAATATTAAGAAGTCTCAAGTTTTAAATTATAAACATCTTCTTCTACTTTGCCTTTCTTCCAACTATTTAAGGTTGGTCATCCTAGTCCCCCACTTGTTTAGATTTTTAATTATATACATATTATAATAAGAAATGTATTTAATTTAACAGTAAATTCATTTTTTAATCAATTTATAAGCTTCAACCTTTACATCATAATATTTAATATTACAACACATATTTGTGTTTTATATTTAATACAGCTAGTAGGTTATAGTGGGTGTTGAGGCCAATTTAAACCCAACTGACATAACTTTGCTTCATGGGTATGACAATTGAGCTTTTAAAATAATCGTCAAGGTATAACAGTATTATTGTTGAAATCTTTTTCTTTGCCCCTCTCTCTCAGTATAATATTTATAATAATATATTATATAATATAATTAACAATACTTAATTTAAATTTTATTACTTAGACATGCATTGAGCTGTTGATCTTTTGACATTAAATGTCTCATTTACTTCTTCAGTAATACAATTCCACATTTCTCTTTTGCTCTTGAATTTTTTATCCTTACCAACATTTAGAGCATAATCTTTATACCTTCTAAGCATTAATCTTCCTTCTTCCTCCTTCCAGTCTACTAAAATTTAAAAAATTAATTAATTAATAAATGTGAGATAAAATATATACACAAATAATTTATTTTATAATTAAAAATATATGATCAATATACAAAGATATTTAAGAAATAGGTTCATATTAAGAATATGGGTTGTATATAGGTATAAAAAGCTTAATAGGTAGTAATTTTTTATCATTTAAATATTCTAATCCATTAAATTACACTTAAAGACATTAAGGAAATCCTAAAATATTAATTCTATTTGATTTTCTCATTCCAATCACAACATTTTTGTAAAATAATACAAGGAAGTGAACCCAAAATTGGAAAATACAAAATTTGGAAGAAACATAATTTAGCCTTATTACCAAAGAAGCCCAAATACTATTTAGTTTAGATGTATCAATCCTCATATCTAAATTATGATATCTGTTTGCTTTTAAGGTCTTTGAGAAGTTCAAGAATAAGAAATTAATGAAATACTGCAAAAGATATCAAAATAATCTCTAACTGGCAACAAAAATCTGTAGAATAATTTATTTCTGAAGTATTTGAAGTTCAAAATTAAGGATGTGTTTTTCTACACCTTTTATAGTTGTCACATTCGAGTAAAACATTAGTCTGAAAACAGTTCCTGTATTTATAGTATTTAAGTGCTAGCTTTACATAAATACATACTAGTTTTTATACTTTCAACCATAGTTCAGCAAAAATAGTCTAACAATAATAACTTAGTCATCAAAGACGAAAAAAAAAAGTAAGTATCCTAAGTTGGAATGAAAAAAAATAATTATATGTTCCTCTCTTTAATTTGAATTATTTATTTTTCCCTTGATAATTCAAACTCTCGTTAAATCAAAAACCTCTTTAATTTGGATTTTCAGTTCGGTTCTCTAAGTTATGAATTACAAAATATAGTCTACTGTACTTGCAGCATATTATGAACTTTTATACTAATTTTTGTTCATTTTTAAATATTTTCTAACCTAACCAGATAATGTGATGATGCAAAGCAATTTATTCTGAAAATCTTCAAGGTATGTATATAGAAAGGTTTGATATAACTCCAAATTTGTATTTAAAATAAAATATTTATATTAATTGACCTATTGGAGTCGCTTTTATTCCTGGTTTTTGTACTGAAGCTTTAGCATTAATAGTGTTTTGTCCTGAATAACTAGGTTCTTTGTTATCACTCGGAGGTGGTGCAAGTTGATAATGAGTATTTGCAGTCTTTTTATGACTATCTTGGCCTAGAATATATAATAATATAATTAATAGTTTGGTTATTATTACAGTATGTATAACTTATTACTTTAAGACTAAAACATGACTTTAAAATTAACAATGTAGGAAATAAGAAAATTTAATATAAAAATCAATAAAATTTTTTTAAAAAAGGATTACAGTGAATTTGTAACTAAAATAGTAATACTTATACATCAATTTCTTAATAATGCAAGCTCATAAATAAAATAAATGCAATAAAGAAAAAACTGAATACCATTGGAATAAGTCATATATTTGTAAAGAATATTATCTTCATATTCATCTGGAGAAGGAGGAGACTCTGGTAGAACAATGACTTCTTCATTATAATCATCAAAATCATCAGCATATCTTTTACGAGACATGTTTAAGTCCTATAAACATATAAAAAATAATATTAAAAAAGTTGTTTAGTTAACAGGTTAAGTTAAGTAAAAGTATAATTGTATATATACTCTTCACAAAATATTTTTGATATATTAAATCATTATATTTGAGATTAGTAATTGCAATTATAGTCCATAGAAACAACTAATAATTCATGTTCATTAGGCACCTTCAAAAGTATTTTATAAATAAGAGGACAAAAAATTATAGAAATAAAAATAGTTTGTTTGTTTAATCTATAAAATGTGAAACAAAATTCTAACTTGAAGTCGATTACATCTAATAAAAGATTTTTTTTTTAAATAATATAATAATAACTAATATCTAAGAATTTAAGTTAATCAATAGAGATTTCAGTTTTAGACTTTGTAAATAGTCATAAATTCTTATTAATTTGATATTGTACATAAAATATAATAACTTTTAAATTCCATTGTATAGGTAGGTTAAATGAAACATAACATCATAATTTGTTCTACGTAGAGTGATTTTGACATGTTGTATGTGGGATTGTTTAGATTATTAAAGACAACTAATTGAGCTATACTTGGAAATCTGATCTACGTCACAGATATAATAATGTAAATGTGAACTATAAACTAAAATGAAACCTACGGAAATTACGTAAAATGCGTCGGTCCACATACCGCAAAAGATTACACAAAAACCAAAGAGCAAGAAACAAAATGTTCAATCTGCCAAACCAATCACACTGCGAATTATAAACAATGCCTAGCATATCTTAAGAAAAAAAATGGAAAAATAACTATTAAAAAAACTCAACCAAAATCAGGCTTCAAGCAACCAAACAAAAAGCCTACTTAAAACGAATAATATGAATAAAAATAAATGTAGTATACTAAAAATAGTAATTGTAACACATAATACCTATATTAAATGATATAAATTTGATATTCAAAGTTTATTCTGCATCTATCAGTGAGAAGTGCTTTTGTTAATACTAAAAAATTTTAAGTGACCTATTATCAACTATTGCAGTACCAAGGGGGGGAAGGAAACAACAATAAAAATGGATGATAATAAGTACTGATGCAGATGAAGCTAGGGAGAAACTCCACAGGTTTCACACATCGCAAAACCAAATCGTCGTGGACACGTGCGGCGTATATATCGTAATTACAGGACAAACGAAAATATTATCAAACAATTACAAAATTATTCTCACCTCGTCTGAGTAGTGACTATGATGAATCGAAAATGTGTTGATTAGAAAGGTAGAGCACACGTCGGACGGCGAAACGGTTGACTTAATTGTCTAACGCCGCCATGCTAGTACAGTGGTTAAAGAAGCAGTATTGTACTGTAATAGCAACGATCAGAATCAAGTTTTCGACCAGGTTTTCATAGATATTAAGCCGATAAACTCTGATGAGATTGGCACGATTCTTTTGTGAAGGCACATCCAATCGCACACCTCGTCCCCGCGTTCAGTGATTCGTGGTTTACGTTCCTTCTAACTATTCTAATCGATGGTGGTGGTTCGGAATTTCGGCGCACCGAATTTCAAGTGATGGCTTATACCGCTAGATGGCGAATAATCGATATTGTGATAATTCCAAACACCAACAGTTGTATTCATGGTATATAACAGAGAAATGTTTATTCTTACCACAGATAAAAGTTTTTATTTATTCGTGTTCATTACCAATGATTATATTGATGTAATATTTAATATATTTATTATTTAATTATATTTAATTCATGTTATTACCACGATTATAGATAGGATATATCCTATCTGTAATCGTGATTATTACATAATTTGTGTTAATGATATGGAGTGAGATCTGAAAATGGTCGCGGGAAAACCTAGAGGAAAAATTTAAAATGTCGACCCACTGCGTAGAGAAGATTCTTATTCTATACATCATGTTAACCATAGCATATTATTATGTCTATAATTTAAATGGTTTTAATTAATACATGATTTAAGAAAAAATATTACGTTTAAAGTGAGAAAACCATTGTTGTATGTCTATATTTCTAAGATACAACAAATACATCTGTCATGGAGTAAATAACGTACAATAATTATTTATTTCATAGTTAAGTATAATGATAATGTAATCTATATCCTATCTCATATTTCTTTCGCTTTTTTATTACGATATGTCACACCATAGACTAATATAGAGGTGCTGTTCTCTATTACGATTATATAACCGAATTGTCGCCATAAACAAAATATCCTGTGTCTATTAGCTTGATATTTCCTCACTAAGTTGCGTTGAAGACTACATAGAAATGTGATAACCATATTTTGTTATGCATATTGCCTGATAGTAATATAACGAAAATCCAAAAACGAAGAATTACGAATTCGAATTGAAACTGTTGTTTCTTTAATGTTGGCATTTATTGATTTACATTAATTAAATTATACATTATTATTGTGATACTTAATTGTTGAGTGTTATAGTATTTTAAATAATATAAATTTAGTTTATTTAAAATGCCGAGCTGTTTTGTTTGTGGTAGATCAAGAATACCTTTAACAAAACTTCAAAATATTATTTTTCAAAGGTCAGTAACCATATCTTTTATTAACTTAATGGTTATTTAAATAAATATTTCTTTCTATACACTTATGTTTTACTTTTTAACAGATTTTCTGCTGATCCGAAGATACAGGAAAAATGGTTTGATTTTTTTAAGGAAAATGGTTTAGATGTATACAAAATTACAAAGCATAGCCTGATATGTTCAAGTCATTTTGACCCATCTTTATTCATCACAAATAAATACTGTAGAACTTTATCAAAAACATCAGTTCTTAGTATTGTAATATCTAAAGTGTGAGTTGGTTGTAATATTTGTTTTTCATTTTTAATGAATTTTATATTTGTATAACTTATTATCTATAGGCGAAAGCTATATTTCCTGAAAAAAAGGTTTGCTTGGTAAGAATTCCCACTCCTATTCTTGATATGAACAAGTCTTTAGTAAATGTAATATATTTTTAATACATATTATATATATATATAATATATATACATATGTTATATTAATTAAATAAGTTACCTATGTCTTCATTATTTATGTAATTTTTAGACAACTACCAACATTATTGATAATGAAAGATCTATCACTTCAAATAAAGAATTACCACAGTTAAATGTATCGATGAAATCAAAAAATTAAAACACTTAATTTGGCATTTAGGTATCTGCTAAAAATATTTACTGTGAAGGAGTGTCGTTATTAGATGACAGTGTGTTATCTAATTTTACTTGTTTCAATACTACAGTTAAAGTAATTTTCTTTATAATCAAATGCTATCTTTTAATTTTGAATACATTTTATCATTTAACATTTTGTATTTATATTTTATTTAGGACAATGTCGATCCTTTATTTTTTGCTGCTTCTAGCAGCATTCCTGTTGATGATACACCAAGACGACTTCTTGTTTGAAGCTTGGAGTTCATAAATTATCAAAACAAATAGCCATAAAAAAGAAACATAAAAACACTTCAAAATACATTAAGGCGTAATGACACAAAAATTGTCTCACTAAAAGGTATTATTATTCAGCTGAAAAAAGAAAATCTTTTAAACGACGACACCTCAGACATCTTATTAGATTCATTCGGTAAATGCAAAGATTTAATAACTAATTGGTTTAAAAAAAATAATAAAAAAAAAATGTGCTTTAAGGCAATTTGCTTTGTCCTTGTATGTTTTTTCAGCTAAAGTTTATAATTACGTCAGAAAGCAATTTAATACCATTCTACCACATGTTCGAACTTTATCAAAATGGTATTCGCATGTGGATGTTAAACCGGGGTTCACTAGTGAAGGTTTAAAAATGCTTACCTTAAAAGTAAAGTTTGCTATTTTACCAGTAATTTGTAGTTTAATGCTAGATGAAATTTCTATTTGTTAGCAGCTTGATTTTAATGGACAATATTACTATGGAAGAGTAGATTTGGGAAACGGTGTAGAGTACAATAGTTTGGAATTGGCTAACGAATGTTTAGTGTATATGGTGGTATCTATGAATAAAAATTGGAAAATATTTATTGGGTATTTCCAAGCTTCTTCTTCATCTGAAGCTCAAAAAGCTGAACTTATGAAGCATCCATTAAACCTATTAAAACAGGAGTTTCTATAGCTAGCTTAACGTTTGATGGTTGCTTTTCGAACTTAATAATGGCATGTCCATTTGGCCGTGATTTTAATATGCAAACAAATTAAACAGTATATTTAATATTATTGCTGTGTTTATGAATCCACCTCATATGGTTAAGCTTGTGCTGAATGCTTTTGGAGAGAAACAAGATTTTATTGATAGGGATGGTAAACAAATATGTTTCAATTTAGTGGAAAAATTATTTTTGATTCAGGAGGAAGAAGGCTATCACCTTACTTTATGTGTCAAACATGCTGTTACGCGTTGAAGACTGAAACAAAAAAAAAAACTAAACTACACAGATTAGATAACATTTTTTTTGATCATGGTAAATAAACATGGAATTCATGGACGTAAAACTACTGCTGTCAAAGAATTAAAAGTGCATGTGTAAATATTACCATTGATCATAGAATTTAAATTTATTCTATAATCAATGATATTAATTATTATTATTACATTATATTCTTAATTTCTTAAATAAATATATATTATTATTTTATTAGGATACCTAAAGGTAATGTTGGTCAGTTATGGATCCAGGACATAAAAAAACAGCCAAACTTTTTGCTAACGTTTCATTCAATTGTATGTAGTTAGAATTTTTCAAATGCAGATTATAGTTTTATTTTTGTTAGCAAATAATAAGTTTGAAATGAGTTTAAGTGAGGTCTGAAGCAAAATTTTCAATGTGATTGTGAATGCTGTTGGTTTTGACAATAACAATGTCTAGGTTATCTGGACTGTGATTGGAGTTGTTCTGGTAGTACGTCTGAGTGCTTTGCATAGCTACAGCAAGGTCGTTTCTGGAGTTGATGAACTGAGCAAGTATGTTGCCAGCCGCCTTAGACGTGAGGCTGAACTATAGTTGGTGCTTGCTGTTAAGTTTTCTTGCTACGATGGCGTTGTTTGGATAGTCCAGAAGGGCAGTGAGATCAGTTGGGAGAAGGATATTGGGCAGTCCTAGGTAGGATACGCTAGGTACTCAAATTTTTGGACTATTGAAACGTCAAATATTTTGTATAACTCAGTAAAATTTTAAAAATTTGCATCTATGAGAACTGCAATACCTTATGGTAATTCCATTTTTTTATTTTTCAAAGTTCTACTGTTTATTTTTTCGATGAAAACACATTGGCATGAATTTTCTCATGAACAGCCGAATTAATTACTGCTATTACATTTTGGGCTATTGATTCAAGACAACCTCAAAAACATATGCCTGTTCTAATAGGGCTATTTCCATTACCAACTTATCAATGTTATCGGTGTTGTAGCGAGCCTCGACTTGATAGGTGTTATAAACTTTGAAATAAATTGAATAATCAACATTAACGAATAAAACTGTTTAATGGGCCGAATACTTTAACAAAAGAGACTTAACAATCAACATAAACATCAAAACATAACCAAATATGAATAACTATTAACATTTAAACATAACATAATTATATAATACAAAATAATAAAAATGAGTAACTAGAACCGTAAGCGGTCACACACAGCACCAAACGGACATGCGCCACACACGAACGTTACAAAGGAACGAAGACGCTCACCACTCAACAGTCGTGGTGTGTAGTCCGATGGCTCTGCACGACAGTGTAGCCAACAGCTTCTATCATTCGGCTTCTCCTGACATCCCAGACCGTCCTCGGACTGTAGTGTCATAAGCTTGAAGGTAGGCCGGTGGTCTACGGTTACGAACTGGACGCCTACTCGTTTCCTCCTCAGCCGTGGAACTGGACTCTACTGCATCTGACGATAGCATTACATTCTGGCTCGTCCTCATCCTCTTGAAGTACCTTCCAGGACTTTAACTCGGAGACATGGGCTGTGGTTGAGTACAGATGTCTGCCGTTCGCAGCAACGTCCGCAACTCGATAGGTATCACTAGGCAACACCTGGATCACTTGCATAGGGTGCACACGGTATCTCACCTGAAGCTTTGACGGTTCTCCTACTCGCGGTTGTCCCTTCATGACAACTTCACCGACATCAAACTTAACCCCGCCATAGTGTCTTTTATCATGGGCCAATTTCATGTCCGGTTGCTTGGCAAGTATAACTTTTCTTATTTGTTCTTGCTGTTCAGCAGGATCAGTCCAAGTGTTGGCTGTCTGGCTCAGCAGACGTATTTCGCCACCGTAAAATCTTGGACGATACCCATGTAATGCTTCAAAAGGAGTTTTTGTTGTGGTTTTATTCACAGCATTATTTAAATGACGTTGTATCTCTGGCACCTTCACATCCCAACGTTGATGGTCTTCCGCAGACATTGCCAACAGTGGAATTATGGTCCTATTGGCTCTCTCGACCTGCCCATTTGCCTGAGGATGGCGGGTCGAGTTGAGAGTGTGACGTATACCACGCAATCGACAGAACTCTTGGAAAGACTTGGCAGTAAAGCATGTGCCGCGGTCGCTTATAATCCTGTCTGGCAAGCCTCTTTCTTCACACAGTTGAGTCATAACTCGTATCACACCGGCCGCATCTGTCGAACTCGTTGGATATAACAATATGTATTTGGTCAAATTGTCTACCACGACTAATAGATATCTCTTCCGGTTTACACTGGTTTCAAAAGGTCCAAGGTGATCGACGTGGATCACCTGAAACGGGCGTTTTCCAGGTGGAATAGGGTGTAAGAGACCCGGAGTCTTACCAGATGGTAGCTTATGGACTAAACAATCCAAACACATACTTATATGTTGTTTGACATAACGCCAGAGACCCGAAAACCAGTAATCTTCAGTGATTTTCTCGACAGTACGTTCTACTGCAAAATGTCCCTGTAAGTCATGTGCAGCAATCACAATACCCTTGCGCATCGTTTTAGGTACAACGAGGAGCAGCTTGTCCCTGTACTTACGATAAACCAGTCCATTGCATACTTGATAGTCTTGTGCAACATTTTCTCCTCGCGAGGCATTCTGGATCTGATCATAGAGGGTCCGGGTTGGTAGATCGCCTTGTTGCATTAATCGTACACGTTCTTCGACTGTCAAAGTAAGACACACCTCTAGGCGTTGAGCCAGCACATTCTCTACCGAATCCGGAGGCATCGGTTCTGAGTGTGCTGCTCGGCTAAGGGCATCAACATGGGCCATACGACTGCCCGGTCTGTATTTAATATCAAAATCGAATTCCTGAAGAAGCTCAAACCATCTCGCCACTTGTGGTTTGACATTCTTGTGTAGGTTGAGGTATATTAAAGCTTGGCAATCTGTGATTACGGTAAATCTCACGCCCAGCAGATATGAGCGGAGCCTAGATAAGGTCCAAATGATTGCATACAACTCAAGCCTACTCGAATGGTACTTTGACTCGGCCTCAGTGGTACGTTTACTTACTGCATATACTATATGCAGTTGCTTTTCGTTATCACCTTGCAAGAGTATACCCGAAAGAGCCACTGCACTGGCGTCAGTATGCACTTGGGTGATAGGAGCAGTAGCATCATACATACGAACCACCGGTTCTTCACACAACTTACTCTTAAGCGCAACGAATGCAGCTTCTTGTTGTTCGCCCCAGCTGAATGTTGCATCCTTCTTCATCAAACTATTAAGCGGATTCGACAACTCCGCATAACCGACTATAAAACGCCTGAAGTACCCGGCTAGGCCAAGGAACCTCCTAACTTCATGTATGTCACGGGGTCTCGG